TCTTGTAATAAGATTATATCCGGATATAACTGATTAATTAAGCAAAGTAAGTCAGTAGAAGCAGAAATCAAAGACCTACAATTCCACTGTAGTACTTTCAAGGTATCTATGTTGACGAGCGAAACACTTCAGCAACGGCAGCTTCTAAAATATTCTCCTTAAAAAGTGCACTGGCATTTTCGCTGCCCTTTTTGGGTTTTGCGTTTGGGCAAGGAGATTTTAATGGAGATCCAGTGCGCTTCTGACGCCTGAAATCTTGGCATACGTCCATTTCATTCTGATCCTCCACGTGGGTCGACGTAGAAGGTACGGACGAAATTGGGGTTTTCTCCTCGCGGGATTGTCGCTGTGGGGCTAAATTCGGTATAACTTCCACTGCACAAGGTGCCGACTTGGCCATCGGTACTGCTATCGCAGAAGCCAGCTGTGTCATCTGTGAGCAAAACACTTGAGAGATGCACTCACTCACGCTCGTAACTATGTGTTCCAGCGCTTTCGACATCGCCTTTTCTACTGCAGCCTCAATAAGATTAAGAATCTTCGTCTCACTTAGTTGTTCGTGCCTCGACGCGACTCCAGCATATCCAAAGGCTCTATCCTTCACAACTGTTATTGCTTCTCGCCGCGAGCAACGACGTCTGTCCATGATTTCTAGAAGTTGCGTTTCATTAGACCTTGCCGGTCAGTTCAGATAATCGGCCGCGTGATTTCCTGCACAGAGGCAGCACTTTTCGATTTCGGCGATGCACTCCTTCGATGGGTGGGTATCGCCACAGATGCGGCAACGTGAATTTGATTTACAGCCCCCTGCACTGTGACCAAAACGCCAACAGTTTTGACATTGGAGAGGACGAGAAGCGAGACGTTCGACTCTGAAAATGAGCGGCCATATTTTCAACTCGGATGGACAGGAAGTGCCGGCAAAGGTAGCAATAACCGACTCAGTGGGGACTTTCTCACCGTTAACTAATCGGTTGCATCGGTACACAGCTATGACCCCAGCATCAGACAGCTTTTCCAGAGTCTCAGCGGGCGTTAATGTAGAGTCGACTCCTCGTACAATTCCCTTAGTGCACGCTAAATGAGGCGGGATAAATGCACTTACCGGGACCGAAGCAAATGTCTTGCATTTTAGGATGTCAGAAACGCACGAAGGATCTGACGATCTGCATACCAAACCACCTCTTCCGAACTGACGAACATCACTTATCAGCTGAAAGTGCGGCGTCATGGCCTGCAACCCCACCTGGATCGCCTTCGGGTTATTGAGCCTAATAAATCCACCACTCGAGGGCACCAGCGCAACAGGGATGCTTCCAACACCACTGCGGAAAAAAACATTCCAATGGCAATTCATCATTAGGCAAGGAGGCTGACCAAGGGCTATGCCCTTGGCCAGGAGATGAATTAGACATTAGCACTAATTCGATTGCTTAAAGAAGTAATATGCCACGTCAGCTAGTTTCAACAGGTCAAATTCACCCAAAAACTCAGCCAAACCACCGTCCGAAAGAGTCCGAAGGGACGAGCCCGGTTCAGAACGAAGCCCGGTTCAGCGGAAGATCAGCGGTGATTGCGTCCGAACAGCAGGTCAACCAGGAGTTGGCGATGCTGCTCGCTGCAGGCACATCTTCTTCTTCACAGGCACAACGAACCAGCAGTTAATTAACTATATAGTAGACGTAGGACAGTGCAGTAAATATGGGAAGATTCCCCTTCTACTTAGCCAATCCCCTCCAAAGGGTATGTGCCATGTGCCGAGGTCAAGAAGAAGGCTGCAAGCAACAGCAGTGCCAATTCGCCTTCCTTAATTAATTAACATATCTCTTATTTTAAATAACTTTAACTCTGTCCATGTTTGGGATGCGAGAAAGCTGCAATGTATTTTTTTTTTTCCTTTTTCTTGGTCGCCTCCTCTGGCGGCGCGTCTTTAATTACCCGCCCGCTTCCAGCGGCTCTCCGTTGCCCATTTCTTCTTCTTGTCTGCCGCCTGTCTCGCTAGTATGTTTGTTTCCTTTTTATTTTTATTTTTTATTTTGGAGGCCTCCAAACTGTGAGGGTGGCCCTCTGCTACGGGAACTTGTATCATTTCGCTTAGATCATCCGAAGAAGGCTGGTCCACCAGCCGAAACTATTATGATTAAATAAATCAATTATTGTTTTGTTTCCTATACTGCACTATTCTCAAGGTTTGTAATTTTTATTACGGCAGCCAGAAAAAAACTATGTTCATATATATATATATATATATGTGTGTGTGTGTGTGTGTGTGTGTGTGTGTGTGTGTGTGTGCAAGCACACTAACGCACGCACGGACATGCAAAAACCTATATAGCTGACCCATTTACGCACACACACCCCGAAAAAAAAATGTCGGGCTGGGCAACATATTCGGTAGTTGTACACCAAACCCCGAAAGACAGCATGCATCCTTGACGGCTTGCATTATGCCGAAACAATGACGCTGAAAGACCCGAAACGTGCGCTGCATCTCAACTACAATTTTATTCGAAGGTTCATGCACGCACATACAAGGTGGCCAACCTAGTCACGTGACACGTACACCATAGCATCTGCGCAGTATAATAATTTAACTAAAGATACCCCTAGTCATGACAAAATGATAGATACTCGAATATCCATAAAACAAAAAATAAAAAATAATAGAAAGCGGGAACATACATGACGCTTCAAACAGTATCGCAGCAGGGTTATCCGGGTAGCGAACTTTTTGTTCACCAAGGGCTGTTGCTGACGCAACCTTCCCCCTACTTTTCAATGCCAGAGTTCCCATCACTTCCCACAGATTTTTTTTTTTTTCTGGGTGGCTAAACGAGCAATGGTTTCATCTGACCTAGCTCGGTTGTCACATTCCCTATAATGAGCTGACAATTTCAAACCACCAGAACTCGTTAACAAGGGTAACATTGAAGGACCGGCCATTTTGTACTAGATAACCTCCTCCCCCGTATGATCACGGAATTCTACAACGCATGCTTTACAACGAAGCTATATACATATATATTTTTTCATCTGGACACAACGTGCAGGTGTCCCAAAAGTAAAACGGAGCACTGTGGCCCAACTACACAAAACTGCATTCCAGCGCGCGCATTAGAAGTGTTATTTATTTATAAACGGAAATGATAGTATAATGTCCTGGCGCATTTCCGTTTGTAAGATCACTCCACAGCAGGAGTTGCGACGTTCACATACGTAGCAGCGTTTTGTTTTGCGAGAGCTTATTTTAAAGGAGCGAGACACGACACGGGAAAAATTCAGCAGATCCACGTAGGGAATCGATGTTAGGTGAATATGGGAGAGGCCCGTGTTATGTGCGATGTCATTGCACCAGATGGTCAAACTTTCCGGAGCCCTCCCCTACGGCGTCTCTCATCATCATATCTTGTTTTTGGGACGTAAACCCCACACATTTTATTATATTATTATTATTATTATTATTATTATTATTATTATTATTATTATTATTATTATTATTATTATTATTATTATTATTATTATTATTATTATTCGATGTTAGGCGAAGCATGCGGGTGGAAGTTGACTGTGTTGTAATTTTTGTACTGAGTGAAGAGTCACGATATGGGCGCTAAAGATACGTAAAAATGCACGCATAAACGTTTGTTAAACAGCCTCACATGTTTTACATAATCATGTTTTTTTTTTTACAGCTGCGTGACGATGTCAACAGCAATATTGATATGAGCACCACCAGAAGCGTTAAGCTGATACAGTGAAGCGCTGGCGCTCGCGAGGGTAGTCCTGGACACTTCCACATAAATAAACTTGAGCAGATGGCAACTACAGTTGACGTTAACCCGATGTGACGGCTGTATCATAAGCCGGAGAACATATGTAATGTTTATAAAATTGGATAGCCGGCACTGCAAAACCCATTTACGTTTCACGAACATAACGGTATATTTGAAAAGTATTTCCGAGACCTGGTGTGGCTCTGTGGTAGAATACTTGATTGTCACACGGAATTCCGGTGATCGATTCCTGCTGTGACTCAGACATTTATTCTTTGCATTCGTCGGGTAACGCAGCCAATGTCAGATATTTCTGAACGCTCACGTGTTGAAATTATCTATGTCTTTTCTTGCCGTTCTTGGGTAGATATAAACTGTCAATCACCTGTGGCACACACCCGTCCGCGGGTATGTGCCACACGTCTGGCGGAAGGGGTTTAGCGATCGATGTACGCGATGGAATTGCTACATTGTAGATAGATAGATAGATAGATAGATAGATAGATAGATAGATAGATACATAGATAGATAGAAGATAGATAGATAGATAGATAGATAGATAGATAGATAGATAGATAGATAGATAGATAGATAGATAGATAGATAGATAGATAGGTGCTCAAAGTGCCTACATGTTTCTGCCTCCATCGGAAATGCAGCCGCCGCAGCCGGGATTCGATCCCACGACCTGCGGGTCAGCAGCCGAGTACCTTAGACACTAGACCACTGCAGCGGGGCGCAAAGAAATACTTCGCATTTAAAGTACATTAATTTGCAGCAGACCACTTTTATTACTCTGAATTAAGGGCCATTTTGCTGAAAGAAGTTGCGAACGTCTTTCCGTAAGGCAGAGCTTACGTGAAGGGCTTTAGGGTGCTCCTGTGGCAGGGGATGACCACTTAGTTTAACATTCCAACTTGTTTGCTATGGCATTCACTGTGTTGCCCTTGCGGCGCAACTGTTTTTTTTTTATTTTGTCTAACCCATGTAATTCCGTTCATGGCCGATCCCCCGTGTGGGTATGAGCTATATCTAAGGCATCATCATCATCAGCTCCAGCGCCTGAAGCCACGAGGCGGCTGGCAGCCACACAATAACGATCAAGTGTCAAGTGTGGCCCCCTTATGGGTATGAGCCATGGTTTCTTCTAGGCGACAAACAAAACAAAACGATCAAGAAGAAAGCAGCTCAACTCGAGGAACAAAGATGGCGAAGATCGGATCAACGATGACCATTCCGGAAACAATCAGCAAGACGGGGGCGTTATTAATGAGCAACAGGCCGCCGTCGTCTCAACTCTATGCCAGCGGGAGAAACATCGAGACGACCGACGAGCTCTCCTCCACCGTGTTCGTCGACGTGAACGCCTACCTCCGACTTCCATTAGTCTTCGTCAACATGCTCGTCATGCTGCTAGGCCTACTGGGCTTCTGGAGCTCCCTGTACGCCCTCGTGACGGACTCCTCGGTGCCGCCCGGAGCGCCCTCGCGCAACTTCGTCGTGGTTCTCTTTCAGAGACCCGAGATTCCCGCGTTCTTCATCTCCACGGTGGTGTTCTCCATCGCCGCGGTCGGCTTTCTGGGCGCCCTGCGCGAGAACGTCACCCTGCTCACCGCCTACGTGCACCTGCTCACCGTGTTGGCCATTCTGCAGGCTCTAGCCTCGGTGCTCGTCTTCTACTTGCCCTCGTGGGCTCGCACCTACGTGGCGCAGTCCGTGTCGCAAGACATGATCGCGGCATACCGCGACGACGTCAATCTGCAGAGCTTCGTCGACTGGATGCAAGTGGAGTACCGCTGCTGTGGCATCAGCACCGAGGGCTTCCGCGACTGGAACCACAATCCGTACTTCGCCTGCAACAAGACCAACGACAGCCGCGAGCGCTGCGCCGTGCCCCCCTCATGCTGTCGCCAAAACGAGACGTCCGACGCTGCCGGTCGGCTGCCGAACGTCATGTGCGCCAGGAACGTGTTGCAGGTGAGGTTGCGCTGCTCTGGCGCCCCAGCTGCTCGTTATACAACTTCAGAACTCCGCGGTATTTCGTCCTCAAAGGTGAATGCCCATTAGCCTGCACTAATAGGGCGTGTACTCCAGAATGATATGATGAGCAGGAGTGCCGGTGACCCCGCCTTTGGAAAACATCGGCGATCGAATCAGTGCGGGATCATTTCTTTAGCCTTGGAGGCAACTGGCTGCTACGCTTTGGTCGTTTGGGCAGGGCGTCTATAAACTTATTAAAGGGGCCCTGCAACACTTTTCAAGCAGCTATAGAATGGATTCTCTAAAGGAGGTGGTAGCTTCACTAATTCACAGGCGCAAAACATTTAGCAATCCATCTTGAACGAGATTTGTCGCACGCTCTTCTCTAGTCCCGACGAAAGCGCTGGAGGCTGAGCAGGGGGATGGCTCAGGGGAAGAAGATACGTCACGCGCACATCATGACTTTGAGCACTTTTTTTTTTTTGCGTGTGCTATTCTAGTACACTATAGCCGTGGTCCCTCAAGGGCGAAACAAAAATTTCGGGGGGAGGGGGGGGGGCACGTGCTCAGTGTGCTACTTCCTGACTACGCCCCTGTGTAGACCCTAGTAGCCGTCGTGAAAATCACAGAGACTTCCGCGGAAACTTCAGGATGGTGCATACTGCCACGCGCATTCTATTTTTGGCGCGTTTTATCGCTTACCAAGCATTTTCACCCAGTAAGCACATGGAGGAAGGACGGAGTTTTTCCTTCCTCCATGAGTAAGCTGTTTTTGGTATCGTGTCCCTTTACGGTGATTTCCCGATTTCCCACGCTGGGTGTCTTTGCGTCAGGTGTCGGACCAGGTTGCCTGGGCACGCATCTACACTCGCAGCTGCTCGGACGCCCTGTTCTCCCGGATGCAGGACCGCGTGATGCCCGCCTCCATGATAATGATCGGACTGTGCCTGGTCACGCTGTTGCTTGCGTCGCTGGCCATCGGCACGCGCGAGCAGGTGCTCATGCTGGATGCCATCTACGGCATTTACTACAGGTCGGAGCGCGCATGCGTCACTTCCGCCATTTGCTGGCGTTTCATACTAACATGCATAGACGTGCACAAGGGGGCAGGGGGGCGAGAGGGGGTGCAAAGCCAGCTCCATACGCTTGTGCTGACATGTCATTATTGTTAGCAGTATACCCTGTGGGTTCTCGAAATGGACAGAGCGCCAGGCCCTTGGAGTGAACGGACACAGTATACACGGTCGGAACTAACCAAACAACACACATTTAACTATATTTAGAACGACGATATCGCCAGCCAAATTAATAAATATTGTGATCAACACGTACGCAAAGACAACCTTACACAGTATTACACAACACTCACAAACATAACAAACACAAGGGCGCAACAAGGCCGCTTCGCCAACGCTTGGCTCACCACAATTCCACGGCAGACGGCCCGCGGTGCCGTAATCCGCGGGCCCACGCGAGAGACAACAGTTCGCGCCAACCGCCACCCGCCAAAGAGGACCGCTCATCTCTCGTGCCATGTCTCGTGCTATGGTGGCTATGGTGGTGGCCTTCTAGCCACCATACTCATGCGCCGCCAGTAAGGCTTTCCGCCAGGCGACACCGCTGGCGCTGCACACTATGATGGTGGTAGTGGTGATAAACGCTCGCGACCACAATGCTACCTACCGCTCGGTACTTGGGAACGCAGGTGGTTTTATTGGGAAGTTGCATTTTTTCAACGGAGTGCTGTTGTGAGCCCCTCTGGGCTGTTGACACTATATACAAAGGCTTTTAGTATGTTTCGCGATCACGTTGAGGAAAATGCGGTACGGTATGACCCGTATGACTGATCCTACTTTCTCGCTCGTGCTGAACCGCTCCCAGCAGGATTGCCGCTGACTTGCGAGTGAAATTCTCCAAAGGACGAGTGAAAAGTTGCCAAAACTCGCCATTTTTCTTCGAATTTCGCCAAGAAGGTCACCACTCTACATATGTGGGGCAAGTCTAGTTATAAAAACCACAGTACCATTCATAACCCCTCAATTATATTGACGGTTTTCAATGCGCACAGTCGCATTAGCCGCTTCATTACGGGAGCACAGGGAAAGAGCATGCATGCTCAAGCAGCATTCCTGAATGTCAAACAAAAGTTTGTGATTGTATCAGCCAATGGCTGATACAATGGCTGTGACGAGTGACTTTAAGCTTCTGGTGTCATTTGCCGAGAGAAGAGACAGCAATTTTTTAACTGACTCCGAAAATTCATTGCGAATTCAGGCCGACACCGAATTCAGGCCGCGTGCTGCGCTGTAATATTTGGCTCGCATGTTCTCGGGAGCCTCGACTACTGACTGGCAGCGTTTTCTGACCATGCTCAAAAAGTCTTGCCGGGCCCCTTTAAAGAGGCAACAAAGAAAAATACATTTTCTTTTCCTGCTTTTGTATATTATACACTAAAGTTGCACGGAGAGAAATCATCGAAAGATGGTGTCAGGTCTTTTCCACACATTTATTCAGTTGTAAGATACCTGTACCGTCATGGTTCAAGGTGCATTGTTAGTATTATTGTTAAGATCGGCCTCCCTGGCTTGGCTCCGCTTGGGTGCGTGCGCTGATTTCTTCGAAGTCAGCGCTCCGAGAAATGCACCAAGAGCAAGGACAACATGAAAGTCGTTCTTCGAATTATCCAAGGCCGTCGGCGCTCCTCGTAAAACTCTTTGGACACGCCCGACCCTCTGACGGATTAGGTAGATCTGTTGGCCGTCGAGGTGGCTTTCTTTGTACGTCAAGTTGCCCCGGACAATGAGTCAAGTGTCTGAGATATGTGGTCCTGTGCATTTCCCATGTTCTCCGTGGGTATTCATGCCGCCTTTTGCCACAAACCGTGGTCTGGACGGCGCCGCACACTCATCACTGCAACGTACAACAGAGTTGATTTACACGTAGGACTCGACATCTTCGCGCTGTGCTGTGTTGTGCACATTGTGCAGTGTTTTCTCCCTTGCCATGGGACGAACTGCGCGTGCCTCTTCCCTCTTTCCTTGGTTGGAAAGGAGACGGTGTTTCACCTTCCCCTTTTGGGCGCGGAGATGAAGATGGCATTTTCATTAGACTTTCCTGGCCTCCATTGTTTTTCCCCGCAGGGAATCCTGGGAATACCAGGGCATAAGAGCGCTGAGACGCTCCCGACAAGCTCCCAGAATCTCCCACCAAACTTCTATCGGGAGCTTCCATGATGCTACCCCCATCTCGTAGTAACACACTATCTGTAAATAATGCAAATAAAAGTTACTGGTAACAGATCCGGGCTCCTCGACGTCTCCCCGAGACTGGCTGACTACGGTCCTATGGGCAGACCCCCGACTACATCACTATGTACGTTTTTCACGATAATGTTATAGCCAAGTGTCTCTGATACGTTTAATTGAAACTCCATCAAAGTTATATTGCATTCCACGCCGGACAAGTCGGAGCACGTGTGGGTGGGAAGCAGAAGGTGAGAGGACAAAACAAGCGACGTAGATGGCAATTTTGGTCGGCACGTCATCGAAATGGATTACATTGAACCTCAGTGGCATACACTCATTGGCGTAGTGCGCAGGGTTTCCCAAGAGGGGGGGGGGGGGGATTTCTGCACGAAACCCCCGCCCTTTGGTCTAGAACGAAAGGAAATAGACAACATGCTTCAAAATAAATGAAACAAATGATGCGACGGCTTGCTTCTCACAGTGGACTGCTTCCTGGCTTTCCAGGAGTAAAGACAGTGGGTTAACAGTTTTTGTTTCATGCGGAACCAGGGGCCCAGGGGCTCTATATATGACCGCCATTGGTGCCAAAAATTTACGTTCCCGTAACCCTGCTGTAATAACGGGACAGGTCCGACTGTAAAGCAACAGAACGAGCGTGCGCAGGGGTCCTCTACTGGGGTGGGGGGGAGGGGGAGAGGTTTGTCGCAGCACCCCCCTCCCTAACATGTCAATGTATACGGATCTGGCATCGCCCCCCCCCCCCGCCCCTTCCCCTCTAGCCATCTGACCCCCCTCCCATCCCCCCCGTGCGTACGCCATGATACGGAGCAAGCTTTGCGCCTTCCTTGACCGGTGGTCGCCCTCGATCACCCACCCCGGCGTTCTCGTGTGCACACCTACGCATATATATAATTCCAATTGATTTTTTGGCATGCTTTTGCTGTCTGTCCTCTGCCGTCGATGCACAGCAGCGCAGTCACAGCTCGTATTTCAATCGACGTTGCTTTCGACGCAGGCGCCTTGAAGAAGGTCAGGCACGCATGGAGGCCCGAGACACAACCGGACTCCGTATGGCCGAGACAGCGGCGCGCGAGACGCAAGCAAGAGCAGTCCAGTAGAAGTAACTTTTGGTAACTGCTCGGCGGCGACAATAAATGACGTTACGCCACTACGCCGCAAAGGATTTGCCCTGCGCCTTCCATATATAGGCTTGTTCTGCGACGTATATACACGGCGACGGCTGAAGTGGTTTGAACTGTAGTTCGAAGATGTGTGTGCAGTGAAATGACAATAAATTGATTTGACGGTTTTAGTTGGACAGCGTTTCTCAGTGAAAAAAAAAATTGAGGCGCTTTCCGTGTATTAACGTCTTAAGTTGGTCTGGTTGGTACATATACTAATTTTGAATGAGCAGTACACAATGAGCGTCACTAGCAGAACACAAAGCACCGTTAGGCCCAGCCTTCTAAAGTGTAATAAGGTGTCGCCGGCGTGAACTGATCATTATCCACCTCATACATTTTCGCTGAACAAATCAGACTATGAAGTGCGGCATTTCTATGACGTTTAAACAAGGATAAAGCAGCAGTAAGTGCAAGACATTTTTTTTTTCCGATTTCAATTCACGCGCTTCTTGAGCACTAGCGCCACATCTAACCTGATCCAAAAAACAATCGTTAATATATTTTTTCATCTTAAAGTCAACCTAAAACTGTTTTGACGCCTAAGTAAGCAAAAATGTTTCTGTTAGAATAGTTTTTAGTTTTAACTTTCTCATTTCTTTACAATTTTTTATTATTAGAGTAGTGGTCAACTTTTACTTCGACCGACAAAAGCGTCGCCAAGGTTGTTGCTGCTCTGACAGCACACCATCAACAGTGATTCTGTTGGACGCAGGTGGTTGTGTTCTCTTCTTGTAGGTGTTCTTCGGCGTTAGATTCACCGTCCTACGACAAATACCTCTGCCATCACTGTTCCAACGTCTCTACGGTTTCAATCTCGGTGTGGTTTTACTGCGCAAGCATGTGAATGTACGCAAGGGTCATGGCACGGCCCTAAGGTGGGCTTAGCCGCACAACACCAGGAGCGAAAGCGAAACGCCGATTGCGCTCCGCTCTTCTCGCGCGCGATCCCGAAAGATGGCGAATTCAGACATCGGCGTTGGGAAAAGCATCGCCGTGCTTGCCATTGTGGTTGGTTGCTTCACTGTTCTCTGGCCCAAAGTATTTTATCCAATGATGCAGGCAGCCTTCTCCATAACGTTTCATCACATGAGGCGCAGGACGGTGAGTGGTCCAGTGGCTGACTTATCTTTTCCATAGACGCTTTAAGGTGCTTAAAAGTGTTGAGTACTACTTACTTCGACTTGACACGAAAGTCCGCTCAATTTAATCGAAGAGATTAAGGTGCGGGCGTAATATTTGCATCCCGTCGCGTATCAATATGCTCTTTTTTTTTCTCGGCGTGCACTGGTCGGAAAACATGTGACGATCACAAAGTTCTGGCCTGTTTCTGACTTCAGGATAACTTACCAGCAACAAATTGAGTATTGGCTTGAATTGTGAGTTTCAACATCGAGACATAGAGCCATGCAGCACTTATTTTGCGCAGCCACCAAATGAAGCATTGGTCAATGGAACGGAATGAAAAAAAAAAAAAACCTATTTCATTAGTCAATTGAAATTAAGTTTTTCTAAAACACAACGACAGATTTCCTAGCAAAACGTCTGGTGTCCCACTTTAAGATATGTGGGATGTGGTTGTCTCTGCTGTCTATCAAAGGTAACTATATTCCTGGCTGGGGTCTCCATTATTTAAGTTCAACTGTAAAGGCCAAGCACACAACACTTTTCTAAAGCGTACATGTATAATCTATAAACCCACTGCCTGGTTGGCAAGAAGATTGGAAAATAATTTGTCTCGTTTCTCTTGAACATTCACTGAGCTGTTTGTCAACTAGCACAGCAAGGCAGGGCCTTTTCTGAATGAAAGCTGAAAGTGTCTGCTCACAGCTGTGATGAAAATCATGCCAGTGGTGACAACGAAGATGTGCCCCAGGCACCCTGCACAAGAGATGGCCTTTTTGGCTGCAGCAGTTCATTTCATCCCATTGTTGCTCAAGCGTGTACTTGATTGAAGCATGCTCGTACCTAATTTCTCTCATAAAAGTGTAGCCTTTTACACCATTGCATTGGAATCTCTCGGGCATAGATTTTCAGGCTGGCAGAAAGCTTGCTTTGCTTGTATGCATATGGGATTAACTTTCTGTGAGTGGCATTTCTGTCATTGCCTAATAGTGCAAATTTAGTTTGGTATTGTCACAGCAATTATGGAACAGTAGGTGCTTCAAAACTGTGGTATGATGTGTGATCACTCTTAGACCCTTTCCAAGCATGAGGTGTAAGTTCAGGAGTTCAGACAGAGTTACTGTTACAAATGCAACTGAAACAATAGAGCAAGGCATTGAAATAGTAAGGACTATCAATGTTTAAACATAAGATCTTAATTTATGCATTTATTGTCTGTATATACCATCAGGTGACTTATTTGACATTATGGCTCATAATGCAGCAAGTGGAAGTACCAATATATCACACCTTGTGCAAACACCACTGGCATTGAACATGAAAGAGGGAAAAATGAAATAGTTCAGTATACATCAGTAATTCAGATAATTGAAACACCGGATCTTGCATTGTACTTGCATAAACACCTTGACAAGTGCTTATGTGCAGTAGTGCACGGTAAACTGCATGCCTTGAAGTGCCCCGATGTCTGGCTATATTCCTCGATATAATCTTGTAAAATGACTTCAACTTTGGTGTGACGCTTTGGAATTAATTTCACGCAGGCCTAATCCCAGGCCGAGGGGCCCAATCACGAATGCACGAAGCCATGGGCCAGGCTCGACCTCACAATCCTGAGTATGCCAGGGGCCGTGTGAGTAGCACTTTCGTATTGTGCAGGTGTCACCTGTGCTCCTTGTTACATAGGAGACTTCCACTTGCCCTAAAGGCAATTCAGAGTTTCAGCATTTCCAGTTAATAAACTTCTTACTATTTTATAGATTATATACAGGATACAAGACTTATGAACGGTAATACCAAAGCTCGTGGTGGCATCTTGCGACACATTGTCGAACTGCAGTGTGTTTAAAGAACTTTTATGTCTGTTGAGGCTTCTTATAGAAAGGTAGTCATTAAAGAAAAAGAGCCCATCTAGATGATTATGTTCTCAACCAATTAACCTTTTTGGTAATCAGTTAACAAAGACAAATTACTGTACTATGTGCTTTGTGTGCTTTCTAGTTACATTCTATGTCATGAGACATGGCCGTAAGTCGCTACCAGCATTTTTTCTGTCGTGCACAGCTCCAGTAACGAAACGCTTTACAAATGGTAATAAATTATCGAAGATACAATACGTTCTTTGTGAATGCTTACAAAGCTGCTCAGGTTCCAAAGTTGCGAGTCTTTATGAATGAACCTTCATGCCTTGCAGCTTGAGACACAGTTCTGTAAATACGATGTGGGATGTCAGGTAAAAGGACAGGACACTTTTTGACATTCAGTACCAATCTTGCAGCCATTGAGAAAAAAATATAATCATCAGGTGCAGTCATTGTAATGCTGCAACTCAAGACTTCCGTGAAAAGTCTCAATAGTTTTCGGGTTTTTTATTGCCAGATTCCTCCGAATACGCTTATTGATGTAATCGGAAAAACCTTTTGCATCTGTGACAGCCGTTCCCGCATCCGTCAATGCGCCAGCCCCCTCGACAGGCCGCCAAGACCGGTGGAACCATGAACCTGGTGATGCCACTGTACACTAATTGGAGTGGTCGTCTTTTTCCTTTACACCGTGCTCAAGGTGAGTCTTCTGTTAGACTCGAAAGCATGAAATAGTGTTTGATATTGCACATTTGTTTGCTACACTTGCATACAGCAAAGGCTGAGTGTGATTTCCGATGAAATGTTTTGAAAAGAATCCAATGAGGAGTAATTATGCTGTGCTATTGGATTACAATTATGCAATTGAAATGCACCACTTTTACTTTGCCAAGAGTCCCGGTAACTGGTATACTACACAAAATAAAGTGCTGGGTAGCAGTGCTGCTTTGAATTTCCTACACTTGTTTGTTTGGACACCATGGATGTCATTAACTTCTGGAGAGGGTTTAAAGCTTACAGTGCAAACACACAAGATGTCCAACGAAGAAACGACATTACTTGTGCAGCGCTTGTGTGTGCTGTATTCATGGGGCGTCTTTTGTATTGGCGTTGTAACTGTAGCATCAGGGTTATGCACCCACAAGGCTCAAATGAAGTTTTTTTGAGAGGGAATGCTGAAGACTTTTCTAGTCAACTAGTTCCCAGTGACAAAGTGCCACATTGCTTTATTTAAACAAAGCATTCAATCACCATAGTGAGTATGCACAGAGGACCTTTTAGAGAGAAAGCTGTTATGAGATCTCAACACGGGTCAGGCGCGGCGCCGTAGTTGACCGCCGCCGCCAGAGTTCGTAACCACTATCGCACGCAATAAGAAAACAAAAACTGAGTAAATAAAAAACACTAAGGACAGAATGGTATTCGTACCCGGATCTCCTGTGCGCCAGCCCAGTATCCAAGTAACCAAGTAACCACTGATATCCGATAGGCATACGACGGGACGTACATTTCGGATACCCTCGACATTCATCAAATGTCCACGAATGTACACTGTACGTCCGACGGACGTAGATCAGATGTACAAAGGTAACAAATTTGTACGTTCGCTCGACATCCCTTTAGGACAGCCAACATTGACATTGACAGGCACTTTAAAGTATATATATATATATATATATATATATATATATATATATATATATATATATATATATATATATATATATATATATATATATATATATATATATATATATATAAAATGTTTTTGTGTATATGGCTAGTGCATATCAAGAAAACCTTTCATGTGAAGAATAACGTACCCCCACAGCTTACTCGGAGGCCCATCTTTTTTCTGCGGGAGCTTTTCTGCTGCAAATGAATTCTCAAAAAAAAAAAAAATAGAGACCAAGCGGGCTTTTAAGAACAATAGAACCTTTATTATCAACATGTAGCAAGGCTAAGAAGCACATAACTCACAGTCCACAGCTGCGATTGTGAAAGGGTGTACATAGTCTTACATGCTTTCACTGTTCAATGCCCTTCCAGCTTTCAAGTGTGATGACTTCTTAGGCGGCAAATTGCTTCTTTATGGGTTTATTAAATTATGTTATTAGCAACAAACCCAACTTGCACGTGTTTATGGCAATGTTATTCTAGTAACCATGTACAATACGTACATACAGACAAGTACAGGAGAAAAACTAATGGGTGTAGCTCACTGCTTTAAAGAAGATGTACAGGCACTGACCACGTGCTTGTCTCAAAATCTGTTATTAGCAAGATGCGAGCAAATGAAGAGCTGGAAACATGCCACTTATTAGCAGGGCTTATACAAATGATGGAAAATAGTTAACGCATGATAAGAACAGATAGATTTCTGTTATGAGACGTAAAGACAGATGTTTAACACGTGGCCTTATCTGTATCGTGCAAGTGAGCGGGGTTGCTGCTGCTTGCTGCGGTAATCTGGGCTCGTGCCGCGTTTCAGTGTTTTTTGTAGAAAAGTCATCCTTTAACTTCACATGTTGCTGTTGATGTCCACATGGGCGCATAGACAGGTGCTCCTTTCCTCAGTGTGCATCACTGGTCAAGCAGGTTTCGGGACAATGACATGCGTTTTCTCCCAACACATCCAGAGGGGCATGACTAGCATGACGTGTGCGTTCGAGGAATCTGAGCAACTGCGGTGCAACACTTGTTGAGAAGTTTCGAGGCTGGCGCATGAAAGTTTGCCTACATGATCACTGCTATGACGTGCTCGATCCGTATATTGGTCAGTTCACATGCGATGATAATAACACTAAATACATTCTTTCTTATGGCATACAATACACATATTGATTCAACCAGGTTGTTTTGCCTCAAGAAGCAAAATTATTTGGCATCCTGGGATCAATTGCACGTGCCCAAATTTGAATGAATTTTACAAGATTGTCACCCAGAATTTTGCAGATCTATATATATTTTCACTGCATACATTTTACAATAATTGATGAGCGAATGCACATATCCTTGGCGTGTCCTTATATGGACAGCTAGTGAACGCTCAGAACTTAATCTGGTCGGACATCCAGTTTGGACGTTCAGAAAACAGCTACATGGGGCATGAAATTTTAAAGTGCGTCCATTGGCTATCAGTATTGGATATTCAAATGGCTTGGCATTTGTATTCATAATGAACAGCCAGCGGATATCTCTGGTTACTTGGGTATTTTACCATTTAGACATGCCGATGCTTGGTACTCATTTGCTAACTGGTCTTAGGCAGGCTTGATGTGGGAAAAGGAATTGAGTTGATATGAGTAATAAAGCGTTTGAGAACAGCAAAGGAACAACCAGGCATCAAACAATGTAAATTGCATAACGATTCGGTCCTCCAACGCTCATATCCATTACAAAAGCTTGTTCTTGATTCTCTATTAACTGTGGTGCATACCCACTTCAGGCGTAATTCTTGATCCTCATCAGTCACCGAGTGCAACTCAAAATTCGCTCAAAATTTGTTGCAAGTGTTGAGCGGATACCATGCTTCTCTGAAGAATGACGAAGGGTAGCATAGTGAATGCCGACCTACTACACAACATTCTGATTATTTATGGCATAGTGGGTACCGAAGAAGTGCACTTCTAGCAGTTATTCAGAGAGTTTTTAGAAAATCTTCTGAAAGGCCACTCTTCTAGCTTTCGCTGTGACTGTGCTGCGTATTCCACGCAGGCCTGACAGTTTTTATTAGAAATGTCTTCCGAGCATGGGGGGAGGGCTTTGCACCTCGCATGTATAATGTATGGCTGCAGTGAAATACTGCTTCACATAACATTCCAGAAAACTGTAATTCTTAGACCTTTAAGACGTAGTCTCTGTTGCACATAGAGTTTTTATACATACTCGTGGTGAAGGTTTATAGTTGAAGTCAGCACCAGCCCTTGTCTTCTCTCATCAGTTCATTCTTTCCGTCTCCCAAAGCTACGCCGCTGGTTAAAACTTGAATGCCTTTCAATTCTTTTCGGTTTCAGTTGGTGTGCAAGAAGCCCCCTCCTCAAGCAGCACAGGATGGTGGGAACCAAGAGCCATGGTCCTGTCCCGACCCAAGAGGCACCAACGGCTTTGGCTCACCGGGTCACGGGGTCCATCCGGGTGACTCTTCAAGACAGAATCCCATGGGTGAGTTGTTGCATGAAGAAGCACCACCACAGGAAACACTGTCTGCAAAACAATGGGGAAAAATAAAGAAGAAGAAAAGAGAGGAAAGGCACCTACATGTAGATGGCAAATGAAAGTAATCCTGGACCAAGAGAAACATTTGTGTGTAGTGTGATAGGCCGAGTTAGTTGAGAAGCTTCATGAGAAGCCAAAAATCACCTTTGTACCTAACAGGAATTCAACAGCAGTGAGTCAAGGCACATAATAGTAATAATAATTGTCGTTTAACGTCTCAATACCAGGGTACGATTATGAGAGACGTCATTGTGGAGGCTTCCGGAAATTGCGACCACCCAATGTTCTTTAATGTGCACCTCGCTGGGCTGGCCTGAAGCAATTTGACTTTCATTGGAAGTGCAACCACCGTGGCTGGTATTGGATCCCGTGACTTGCGGGTCAGCAAACGAGCATCCTAACCACTAGACCACTGCAATGGATAAGGCAAAACACTGCCAATACTGCACCAGGTACATGTTGGAAAGAAAAAGAAAACAATAATGATCGGTGCATTGAGTGCGAGTAACACAGTACAGATGAATTTCCATGGTGCACTCAGTTCAAGCTGCACAAAAACCAAACTATGTTGCTGTATTGCTCCTCCGAGTAGAATGGTACTGCTGGGTTACCTGTTGAGCCTTATGACTGAGATGTATCAATGAGCTGCATCACTGATTAGGCAGTGTCACCGAGTGGTATCGCCAAGCTGTGTCACAAAGCTGTAGCACTACTGAGCTGCACCAATTGGCTCTACAAGTTGGGTGTTATCACTTAGATGCATGTCACTGATCTGCATTACTAGGCTGTATCACTGAGCTCTATTACTAAGCTCTGGCAGTAAACTGTGTCATAGAGCTGTATTACTGATATTTATCGCTGAGTTGTGTCATGGAGCTTTTCTTGCCCTTTTGCCCCGCTCTATACACTTTGAAATACTTGTTGCTGGGCCTGTCGGTACAGCATTATCAGGGTAAATTCTAGACGCCTAAACACCGCATGAACGAAGGAGCACAGGGAAAGAGCATCAACTCGCAATAAATTTATTTGCTCTTAAACAGCAGAAAGTATATATATGCCATACCACACATGCGCAAACAGCACTGCCTCGTATTGCCACTGCATGTCGGAACACGAGGTCATTGGAAAGGCATATCAGTCCAGCAGTGAAGAGCGAATTTGGAACTCGGACATCTGCAAATCGACTGATGTGTATCTTATACACAAGTCACTTTTTTTTTTTAAATCAAGAACGCCTCCATTATTTCTTTGGCCAGAGCAAGAACAAAAACGATTGGAAACCTCGCCTCACACGAGCAGGAATGGCATTGTGCAGGCAAATGTGCTGCCAAATTATTTTGAAGTGACAGTTCATCTTCGCTAACCCTGAAGTTCAAATGCTGACGTGAACTCAGTTGGGGAACATGAGCTGCCACTTCGAAATAATGTGGTAGCAGGTTTTCCTGCACACTACTATTCCTACCTGTGTGAGGTAAGGTTTTCAAGCAGTTCGGTTCTTTCCAAAAGCTCAGATGCTCTGGCCCAAAAAATAATGGAGGCATCTTGGATAAAAAAGAAAGGTGGCTTGTGTGTAAGTGGCACATCAGAATTTTGCGCACATCTGAGTTCCAATTTCAATCTTTGTACTGGACTGATATGCCTTTTCGATGACCTCGTGTTTTGGCGTGTAGTGATGAGGCAGTGCTGTTTGCACATGTGTCGGGCGACATACATATTTTTTTCCGATTCGCCTGCAAATAAATGCGTTGCAAGTTCATGCTTTTTCCCTGTGCTTCTTTGTTATTCTTGTGGTATTTAATTAGGTGTCTAGACTTTCTCCTCTATAAAATTTGTGCTAGATTGTGGTGGATGCGCAGGAAAGCAATAAAACTTGCCCATTGCTGATGACGTGGCAACATGCACATCGCCTGCGTGCATCAACACTATTATTGCACACACCCTTGCAGGTGAAGTGGAAGAGCTGAAGCGGCGCCTGGCGCAGACGGAAGCCTTGTTAAAGCAGCTGCTCATTCGACAGTCGGGTGGGGCCCAGTCGGCGAGCACCAACACCAACATGAGCCATTCCATCAACCTGCTTGTCCGTGAGCTCTCCAAGGGAGCTCCGCAGACACCTTCGCGGGAGAGGGTTAGTAAGGACGTCGGTGATGAGCTTGATGCCTGAGCAAGCTTCTTTAGCGCGACTGCAGAAAATGGGCATTAAGCAGTGCTGCAAAGAAACACAGCAGACACAATGTGCCAATTGTGAAGGCAACTGTCGGTAGCACAATGCTTATACCGAGAGCTCCATCTGCAATAGCTATTTGAACAAACCACATCAACAATGATGTGGAGTAGTTGAACAAGAATGTTGCTGGAGCGAACATTTGGCAAAAAGACTCGCCTTCATCAGGTAGCATATAATCTTGGATGACTCGGTTACTGCCCTGGCAGTGACAAGCCTTCTTATCAAGAGATAGGCTCTAGCGACCTTCGCTGTTCAAAAATCTGTCACCTCTATTTTCTATCTTTCCTGAGATTATGCCACTAAACTATGCCTGAGAGGAGCACAAGTCGTGCAGCTGTTTCATAAATGCGTGTAGGACAGTCTTCCTGTTCAAAGGCAGTACAGTCAATGCAAATCCTGCTGGAACATTTAGAGATCATTATTTAGCCTTCTACACTGTAAGAGGTGTTCTTGTTGATGTTTTTCTCCCTCCTGCCTTTCTGTGCATGCACACACAGCACGAAGGCTTGCGGCGGCGGCGGCCCACACACCAAGCATCAGAGGATGAACCCGCTTGCCCCTGTGGCGCACCCTGAGCAGCGAGTCTTGCCAGGGCAGCTCGCAACCGGACTCCTGCTCAGAAGGAACAGCCGAGAGCGGGGACGAGGCATCACTACCCCCGGAGAGGGCGACCGTTGCCTACTGAGTGCCCCGAGGCACAGAAAGGCCTGCTCACAACTTGATATGAAGCGAGGAAAAATCCAGTGCCAGCGAGGCCAGACCAAGCAGCTACAACCACTTTCTAAACAGAAAAGAGACACTGACCGGTCCAAACAAAATGCTTATGACGCTTCAGCTTTTAGTGCGGAAGCCTTGTTCACAATATGAATGCATTACCAGAAGCAGATTGTTTTATTAAGTGGAGCTTTAGCAGAGCACGCCATAATAAGTGACCACAAGATTGATTCAAACAACGCGACAATCGTTGCAGCAGAAAAAATGACAGCATCACGGATACATCTGGAATCAATTATTGTGCCGACCTCTCCCACACAGTGAATGGTAATGATGGGAGTCTCAAACTAAATGCTCTTTGAGGCGATTACTCGAGCCCATTGGGGTGATGCAATCATTGGAAACAAGGCTTTTGCGCTGGAAGCCAAATTATCATGAACGTTTTCTTTGGATTAGTTGGTGTCGCTTTTTTGCTCAGAATGTGCCTTCCCAGCCAGACAGGATTCCGTCACGATTTCGACTTCACGCACATACCATGGCCTAGTGAGTGTCTCTAACTCAAATGTTTCAATCTGTCATGTGCACGCACACTTACACGCACACTTACAAACACGCACACTTACAAACACACACGGTAAGGCTTATCAACCGCCCCTTTGCCTAAAAAAATTTCTGGATTTGCCCCTGAAGCATGTGATTTTGTAGAATCGGGGTCGTTCAGAACGGTGCTACAAGGCTTCAGAGCCCTTATTTGCTAGGGTTGCCACCTGTTTAATTTAGGCCCGCCCGCCCAGTTTTTTAAATAGCAGGCCAGTTGCTGGTTCGCTCCAGCGGCCATTGGCCATTTCTTTATGTCATAATATCATAATTTATTTACTTTCTCGGGCTTCTAATAAGCATCAGTTCAACAACTTCGATTGTAAGTATTGATCGTCAATCACCAGAACGCTCACCACATTAATCAACCTCTTTTTAAGATCCCTTCAAATAGAACGATCATTGGAAAAGAGCAAATATATATAATATATGAATGTCTAATATATTTAAGGCATATTCACTGTATACATTGTAAAGTTTGTTTGTGATGCCACTGGCCTGTTATATTAAGGCAAAGAAAAAACAGATTTTAAAGACAAACTTTTAAGGTCAGTGAATTCAGGGCGATAAATGAAGGGTCATTCTAATCAGGGGTATCTTTATCCCAGCAATTATACTGGTTGTCCAGCTCAAGTGATCAGTGTGCTGTTTTTGTTTGTACATTAGGAGTTTGCTCAAGGAAAGAAATGTTGCATAAAATGGCACTGCATGTTTAATATTTGACACAGCATCTATCGTTCAACAGTAGTTTAAGATCCTGTTAACCCCTTGCTTCAAAGAGCCATTTTTTTTATTGTAACAAGGTGGCAACCCTACCATCCACACCACTCGGATTTACACTAAAAAAATCAGTGAAGGGCGCCAAAAGAGCCCCAATTCAGACAGGTTTGCATCAATTATGGTCAAGTAGAGCGACAATGCAGAAAAGAGACCAAAAAGAATGAATTGACAGTTAATTTGTCCATTTGTTTTGTTCATCCTGTCCTATGGCTGTCACTTCATTTATTCATGCAAGCAGTTGAGCCCATGTTTGGCTGTTTCAGAAAGTGTCCAAGTATGCTGTGAAAAACTTGTATCTAGTGGCAGTTTCATTTTAAAGAACCAGTACGGTGCAATGATCACTGCAAAATTTGATATCAAGAATATGTGTATAAGGAACTGTAGATAACTGCTGCATGCAAAGTTTTCCTGCGACTGCTTGGAGCCACGAATGTGAGGTCCAAGCTATATTGGCTGTAGTAAAGCAAATTTTTGTTTGCACATGGTTGTTTGTCAACATACTCCAATTCGCAGATGGGTTAAATTTAGGCTAGTGTAAATAGTGAATTTTAGATTCAAAGGGAACTTGAAGAAAATAGTAATTTTGGTCAAATAATTTTCAATCAAATTTGAATTGTATATATCACTTGTCATAAAAAATGGGCACACTTGTCATGAGCTAACTAACCTGCACAATATGTATTTTTAAAATTGAAATGAGGCCCGTGCAAATGCCATTTTTTTTGGTTCAGTGGAAGTGGGAACAACTTTGAATAGCACTAGCATTTGATTTTTGGTAGAATGCAAGTGATAACCTGCAAAATACTGTTACGGGTAACTTATTTAATAAATTAAATACAATGCACCATGCTCGGCGAACAAGATGGCGACAGTTCATCAAACCAGCCACCAACGTCGTCTTTCTCTTTCTTGCAGCCAGGCTGTGCCGGCTGTTGTGTATCATAACCCCCCCGTCGGTAGAAGCACCGTCTCGGTGCTTGAGCAACTCGAATGCGGTAGAAGGAGGGTGATAAGGCTTGAGTCGAGCTATGTGCACGATGTCACTCGAAGGTGACGATGATGACGTTGAATCGGCTGGAACGATCTCGTATGTAACGTCAGTCACCTGGCGAACGACACGGTATGGTCCAGTGTAGCGTGACAGCAGTTTTTCAGAAAGCCCTACACGCCGAGTGGGGACCAGAGGAGGACAAGGGATCCCGGTGAAAAGTGCACGTTTCGATGATGGGAATCATAGAGCTGTCTTTGGTGCTCCTGTGAGGCCTGCAGGCGGCTGCGGGCGAGTTGGCGTGCGTGGTCGGCTCGCGCGATGGCTTCGCCGGCATACTCAGTGACCGAGGGCAGCAAGGCGTCAAATGGTAGGGCGGGTTCTCGGCCGTATAGTAGAATGGTGAATAGCCGGCAGTTTCGTGACGTGAGGCATTATATGCGAATGTCACAAATGGCAAATGAATGTCCCAGTCCTGGTGGTCGGCCGCTACGTATTTAAAAAGCATGTCGGTTATGGTGTGGTTGAGGCGCTCCGTAAGACCGTTCGTTTGCAGATGGTACGAAGTGGCAAACTTGTGCTTGGCAGAGCAAGAGCGCAGGATTTCATCAACGACAGCTGATAGGAAGGTCCAGCCCCCGTCAGTGAGAAGTTGGCGTGGAGCTCCGTATACTAAAATAATATCATATACCAGAAAGTCCGCCACATCGGTTGCGCAACTCGTCAGAAGTGCTCGTGTGATAGCGTACCGTGTCGCATAGTCAGTGGCGACAGCGATCCATTTGTTGCCTGAGCTGGAGATCGGGAATGGGCCAAGCAGGTCGAGGCCAACTCGAAAAAAAAGTTCGATGGGAATGTCGATCGGCTGTAGGAATCCAGCTGGTAGGGAAGATGACTTTTTGCGGCGCTGGCAGGGCTCACAAGCGGCGATGTAGCGACGACGTACACGGTCGTATGTGCGAGAGACGCCCAAGTGGCCCACCAAAGGAGCGTCATGAAGTTGGTTGAGAACAGTCGCACGAAGATGTGCTCGTATGACGGGGAGCAAGTCATGGCCATATGGATCGAAGTTACGGCGATACAGGATGCCGTCTTTTACCAACAACATTTGTAGAGATGCGTCGCGAAGCATTGACTCAAGCTTGTCAATGATGGTTTGCAGGAAAGCATCCCGGCGTTGTTCGTGGCCAAGGTTGAGTAGCTGCGTCACAGACAGAAGGTCTGGAAAGGCGTCAGTATGGGCAGCCTCTTCCACAGGGTAGCGTGATAAACAATCCGCATCTTGGTGTGACCGCCCTGTTTTGTACGATACGGTGAACGTGTATTCTTATGATCGTAGGGACCAACGAGCGAGGCGTCCTGTGGGATCCTTGAGTGAGGCCAACCAGCAGAGCGCGTGGTGGTCGGTGACTACCTGGAATGGACGCCCGTATAAGTATGGGCGAAACTTGGCGACTGCCCACACAAGAGCGAGACACTCACGCTCCGTGATTAAATAGTTGCGCTCGGCTGTAGATAGCAGGCGGCTTGCATATGCTACAACGCGGTCATGTCCGCGTTGGTGTTGCAATAGCATTGCCCCGATGCCATGCCCACTAGCATCAGTGCGAACCTCGGTTGGAGCTGATGGATCGAAATGAGCTAAAATCGGCGGTGTTGTAAGGAGCGTCGTGAGCTGGGAAAAAGATGAGTCTTGATCAGCGCCCCAGAGAAACGTGGTGTCCTTCTTCAGGAGGTTTGTGAGTGGGTGTGCAATGATCGCGAAGTCCTTAACAAACCGTTGAAAGTAGGAGCACAAGCCCACAAAACTGCGAACGTCCTTTGTTGACTTCGGAATAGGAAAGTCCGTGACGGCGCGAATTTTCTCGGGATCCGGGCGGACTCATGCGGCATCGATGATGTGGCCAAGTACGGTTATTTGACAACGAGCAAAATGGCATTTCGACGAGTTCAGTTGAAGTCCGGCTCGACGAAAAACTTGAAGAATCGCCGATAAACGCTTGAGATGGGAGTCGAATGTGGGCGAGAAAACGATAACGTCGTCTAAATAAAATAAGCAGGTTGATCATTTAAACCCTTGGAGCAATGAATCCATCATTATTTCGAATGTGGCCGGCGCATTACAGAGACCAAAGGGCATAAGTTTGAAGTGATAAAGCCCGTCAGGAGGGACGAATGCGGTCTTCTCACGGTCCATCTCGTCCACGGCGATCTGCCAATAGCCAGATCGAAGGTCGATAGTGGAAAAATACGCAGCAGTGTAAAGGCAGTCCAAGGCATCGCCGATTCTAGGCAACGGGGGAACATCTTTCTTCGTAATTTTGTTGAGATGCCTATAATCTACACAAAAGTGCCATGTTCCATCCTTTTTTCTGATCAGGACGACAGGAGAAGCTCAGGGGCTACATGAGGGCTCGATTATGTCTTTTGCAAGCATCTTTTCGACTTCCTGTTGTATGACTGTGCACTCGGACGCGGAAACACGGTATGGACGTCGGTGAATGGGACTCGCGTCACCAGTATTGATGCGATGAGTAACAACACTTGTTCGGCTTAAAGCTGTGCTGGCGAAGTCGAAAATGTCACTATAGGACTCCAGGACGTGACGAAGGGCTTCCGCTTAATCAGGAGCGAGGTCTGATGGTACCACGTGGTCAACGTCTACGCCCGATGAACTTGATAGAGTTGGTTCATGGTCTGAGGTGCAGCAATCATCCACTCTGAAGGGTTCAACCGTATGGTCTTGTAGAGCAGTAATTTCGGCCAGGGAGATACCTTGTGCAAGAATTTGGGCAGTGAGGGCAAAATTGACAATAGGAAGGCATGTGCGGTTTTCAACGATTGTCAAAATGGTGTGCGGAACAGCGAAGCCATGCGTAAGCATCACGGCATGAATTGGTGCCACCATGTAATCCCGTCAGGTACAGGTGGTGTAGAGAAGTGGTTGATATGTGTGACACAGTTAGGCGGAAGGCGTGCGAAATCAATGCAGCAAAGGCGACTTTGGGGTGGGTTGGTCAGATCAGAAAGTAGAGGCATTTCAATGTCAGACAGCCGGCTGAACAATCTATAAGGGCCGAATGAGCGGTTAAAAAATCCATGCCTAGAATTACTTCATGAGGGCAATTTTCTATATAGGTGAAAAGAACAGCAGTGCTTCTATCGGTGATAGTCACACGGGCAGAGCACATGCCAATAATCGTGGCAGTTCCCTCGTATGCGACTCGAATGGCTCGGTTCAAGGTAGGTGTGATAACTTTCTTTAGGCGGCGACGAAGAGCAGCACTCATTATGGACACATGCGCGCCGGTATCGATCAACGCGCGCACAGGTACATTGTCTAAAGTAACGTTCAACAGATTCCGGGTGGTCGGTAATGTTACACGAGGATTTCTTGCAGAGGTCGTCGTCAATGCAGCTTCACCTCCAGAAGCTGCACTGCCTAGTTTTCCGGTCGGGGGCACTGCGAATAGGTCGGAAAGGCAGGACGGCGTTGTGGGGGCGAACGAGGTGAGCGGGCGTAGGATGGTGAGCGGGCATAGCGAGGTCTCGTCGGAGGTGCGGCAGAATCAGAGAATGTGGTCGGCATAGGGGAATCAAAACCAAATGTCGAGGACGACTGGTGGACAGAAGTGGCCAGGGTAAGAGGCCCATAGTGTGCCGGCGGAGCCCAGTGATTGCGGCAGTGGCGAGCAATATGACCGACACGTCGGCAGTTGAAGCATATGGGCTTGTCGTCCAGTGTACGCCATTCGGACAAATTGCGCTGCCGAGAGTAGTTGGAACGAAATCGAGGAGCGGAGGGACGACAATAAAAAGGCTCGGCAGAGTAGACTGGTTGAATGGGGTGTAGGCCGACGTTCTATAATTCTTGACGAACGACGGCTTGTATCAGTGAGATAGTGGTCGGTGAAGAATTGGAAATGGACTAGCTACTGGTTGGGCTGCCTCGACCTCGCGACGAATGATGCGGGTGAGGTTGTCACATCGGGGAACTGGGCGGACGGCGTCATTACAAGAGGAAGTAGCAGCTGTGTTCGGCAGGCGCGTGATGCCGTGAGTGACGCGGCGTGCTTTAGCCTGTTCTGGACGGCGGCATTCTGTCAGGATCGTGTCGATGCTCGTGACATTATTAAAAACCAGCAGGTTGAAGGCATCGTCAGCAATCCCTTTGAGGACGTGATTAACTTTTTTTTCTTCTGACATGCGCTGGTCGACCTTGCTACAAAGCGCCAAGACGTCAAGAGTGTATGAGACGTACGATTCAGTAGACGTCTGGGCGCGAGTGGCGAGGGTCTTCTTGGCAGCGAGCTGATGACCAGATGAATCGCCGAAGAGATCAGGGATTTTCGATTTGAAAAGATCCCAGCTTGTGATTTCGGCTTCGTTGGTTTCGAACCATGTCCGCGGCGTGCCATCGAGGTAGAACACAACATTGACGAGCATGAGCGTGGGATCTCAGCGGTGGGTAGCACTGACTCGCTCGTATCGGTGCAGCCAAGAGTCAACGTCGATGGTACCGTCAGCGGAGAAAGTTCCAGGATCCCGCAGGGGTGGCAGGGTGACGTAGGTTGTCGACTCGGGTTGAGAGACCGGTGGGGATGAGGCACTGTCAGTTGAAGTAGCCGAAGAGTCCCCGGTGTTGCAACCGCTGCGCGTCTCCATTGAGGTACGGGAGTCGTCCACCTCCACCAATAATGTTACGGGTAACTTATTTAATAAATTGAATACGATGCACCGTGCTCGGCGAACAAGATGGCGACAGTTCATCAACAACCAGCCACCAACGCCGTCTTCCTCTTTCTTGCAGCCAGGCTGTGCCGGCT